CCGGATGGTTTCACTCATAGCAGGAGTATAATGGACCAGGCGAGAAAATAACAAAAATAATGAACAACCATATACCAAAGACATTTTGCAGGGCTGGAGGGGTATGGAATCAAAAACGGGGGGGGGAGGGGGTGAAGTGCACGGGATAATGGTGATGGCACACGGGTTATTTGGTGATGGGAAACCCGCAGGGATTACAATTGAAATGGAAAGAAATGTACAAAATTATGTAAAAATAAACTGTTATAAAATAAAAGATACAATACCTTACCAAAAAGACACAAAAACACTGATTCAAAAAGACTCCTGCATGCCCATGTTTATTGCTTCTGTATTTACTATAGGAAAAACATGGAATCAACCCAAATTCCCAAAAGTAGACAATTGGATTTAAAAGACTTGGTACATATACCCAATGGAATATTACTCAGCAATCAAAAGATAAACTCATGTCTTTTGTAGCAATATGGATGGAGCTGGAAGGGATCATACTCAATGAAATAAGCCAGAAAGAAGAAGAAAAATACAGGATGGTTTCACTCATAGCCGGAGTTTGAAGGACCAAGGAGAAAAAGAAAAAAACAATTATAATGAACAACTATATACTAGAGACATTTTATGAGGGTGGAGTGGGGAATGGGGCCAGAGGGAAGTACATGGGTCTATGGTGATGGCACATGGGTGATTTGGTGATGGGAACCACATGGGTATTACAACTAAGATGGAAAAATTCACAAAATGATGTAAAAATGAACTGTTATAATTTTTTAAAATATGTGGTACCACCATTCTACTTGCTTTACTTCACTCTGTATTGTATTCCACTCAGTGGAACTGCCAAAATGTATTTAGCATATCCATTATTGAGGAAATGTAAGTTTCCATATTTGTTTGCATAAAACAATGTTGGATGACTATCTTTATATGTTTGTCATTGCTTTGTAACTGTGTAAATTCACAAAAATTTATGACATTCAAATTCCCCTTAGATCATTTAGCCATTTGTATGACTTTATGAAAATTAAGAAGTATTTTATATATTAAGGTGAATTCCAAAGTCATTGTGTTATAGCAAAATGTGGATAGCTATTACTTTGATGAAGATCTCATTTTTTTAATTGTTTTCTTGATTTTCAGCTTTGCAGACAATTGCTACTTTAGATAATTTATTAACTGCTGAAAATCCAAAAGAGAATGAAGTACTTACAGAAAGAGATTCATCTATTATGCTCCTCAGTTTAGCTGCCCAGCTTGCTTTAGAGGTAACTCTTCTGTATCCATCTACTAGATTTTTACCTCATTTCTATTTTATTTTTTGAAGATTTTATTTGTTTATGAATAAAAGAACTAGGGTGTGGGCCAGAGGTTTGGGGTATGTGAGAGTATTCACCAGAGACAGAGTGGGGAGTAGAACAACCATGTACTAAAATACACTGTTGAGGGGAGCAGAGGGGGAAATAGGAGACATCTGCTCTGCCATGTAGGTTAGCTCTTTGACTGGGGATCAAACTCATGCTGCTGTGGCTCATGATGTCTTGATAGCACTGAGACTTTAACCCCAGAGCCAAGGAAGCTACCTCTCTTTTCTGTTTTCAAAGACAATGAAATTGTAAGTTAGGCACAGGTGATACCTCCCTTTACCTTGTTTTGTTTCATATTTTCACACCAAGGGTGGCAGAATTGTTTTATTTTTCTTTATTCCTTTATGATGTAAAGTAAATGAAATAAAGTAAGATAACAGATTTATACTTATCACTACAGGAAAAAAACATTAAAAAACATCAATTTAAAAAAGAAACTCTAGATTTAAAATACCAAAATATGCAAACTAATTGTAAATATATTTTTGGGGAAATTATCTTTCTCATCAATTTGAACAAATACGTTTAAATCTCTGTGAAACTTTTAGTTCATAACTACAAAACAACTATGGTTTGGAAGTAATAGATACTTGTGTTTCTTTTTTTTGTTTGTTTTAACTTACAATGGTCATGCTGATAGATAGGATAGGAAAAGCAGTAGTAGCTTGTAGAAATCTTGAAGTGGATAGTAGACTATGTTTGATACTGGCTCTGCTTCTTAAGCACAACTTTGAATCTTAATTTCGTAATTCCAAAATGAAGCTAATACCTACCTCTGGCTTTATTCTGAAAACTAACTAAAAAGATGGCTGAAAATGTGATTTGTAATCTTTGAAGATTGATCTACAAGTATAGTGTTTCTGTTCTCATTAAAATATAGAGCATATTTAATGTTTATAATCTGGTCACAGCTATTCCTTCTACTTTATCCCTTACTTCTCCCTATTGTCATCATCCCTGGTAATGTAAATCACCACGACATTAGGCTGAAGATACAGAATTGGGGAAACATGCTCTTCATCCCTTCAGTCAATCACAGTATTTCTGAAACAGGCCAATCATATTCCTTTTCCCATGTTTTGTTTACACCATGCCATCATTTAAAAAAATGTTCTTACATATTTATTTTTTATTTAAAAGAACAAATGAGAATTTTTAAATTTATTTTTATATATCTATTTACATTGTTGGTCATTTTATAACAGTGTGTTCTTACATATTTAAATGCTAGCCTTTTCAAAATCCCATCGAAGGTTTCTTTGTACTGCAGAGATTTCCCAAATCAATTCCAAGTCTCAATGTTCTCTTCCTACTCTGATTTTCAGTATTTTTAATGTGTATGCTAATTATTTGGTCTTTATCATATATACTGTAGTATATTGCTTATACATGATTTTTTTTTTTGTCCAAACTGGCTTGTCAGATCTTTGAGGACCATATTTCTACCAACTAGCCCAATATCTATCCTAAGTAATTGTTAGATATAGCTTGATTTATACATATTTTGATGTTAATAAGTAGGATAGTATAATTCCTGAAGAAGGAATAATATTTGGCAGATGCCTATACAGAATGTTTTGTGCAGGATGGAGAGGAGGAGGAAATGAAAGAAATGTGCTGTTGAGAAACCCAAGGACACATACCTTTTTTTTTTAGATTTATTTATTTGTGCATACAGAATTGGGGTACAGGCCAGAGGCTCAGGGGCGGAGAGAGGCTTCACCAGAGACAGAGTGGAGAACAGAACAGGCAGATCGACAAAGTACACTGCTGAGGGGAGCAATGGGTGGGTCAGGAGAGGTCTGCCACGCCATCTGGTCACCTCCGGGGCAGGCGGGAATCGAACTCATGCGGAAGTGGCTTTAGATTCTCAGTGTTGTGCTTTAACCCGCTGCGCAACCAGGGAGGGCCGGACACATATCTTTTTAAGTGAAGGTTTATAAATTTACATTTGATGTGGAAAGCAGAAGAAAGTCAGTGGGAGAATTATGGAAATTTGTTTCTGAAAAAGAAGATAGGTTTAATAAAGAAGAAAAAAACAGAAGAAAAAGAATGAAATAGTTTGAATTAGAAGACGGAAGGATCGATGGAAGAGCCAAAGGCAGGAAGTTGACTATATATTTAAAAAAGAACAAGTTTAGAATCCACTTTTTGTTTGCTACAATTTCTTTTTTTAAAAATATGTTTATTTTTACATCATTTTGTGCTTTTTTTCCATATCCATTGTAATCCCCGAGGGCTTCCCATCATCAAATCACCCATGTGCCATCACCATAGTCCAGTGCACTTCTCTCCCTCCCGCCATTTTTGATCCCATTCCCCACCGCATCCCCATAAAATGTCTCTGGTATTGTTTGCTATTATTATTATTTTTCCCCCTGGTCCTTTATATTCCTGCTATGAGTGAAACCATCTGGTATTTTACCTTTTCTTTCTGGCTTATTTCACTAAGCATGATCTTTTCCAGTTCCATCCATGTTGATGCAAAAGACATGTGTTTATTATTATTTTTGGTTGCTAAGTAATATTCCATTGTGTATATGTACCACATCTTTTTGATCCAGTCCTCTACTTTTGGGCATTTGGGTTGTTTTCATGTCTTTCCAATTGTAAATAAAGCATCAATAAACATGGGGGTGCAGGTGTCTTTTTGAATCAGTCTTTTTGTGTCTTTTAGATAGATACTTAGGAGTGGGATTGCTGGGTCATATGGAAGCTCCATTATTAGCATTTATGAAGATTCCAAACAGTTCCGTAGTGGTTGTACTAGTTTGCATTCCCACCAGCAGTGCAGGAGAGTTCCTTTTTCTCCACATCCTTGCCAATATTTGCTGTTGCTAGTTGTTTGAAGATGTGCCATTCTTACTGGGGTGAGGTGGTATCTCATTGTGGTTTTAATTTGCATCTCCCTTATTACGAGTAATGTTGAACATTTTTTCATATGCTTCTTGGCCATCTGCATTTCCTCTTTGGACAAGTGTCCTTTAAGCTATTCTGCCCATTTTTTGATAGGGTTGATTATTTTTGTTGAGTTTCATCAGTTCTCCATAAATTTTTGTGATCGATCCTTTATCGCTAGTTTTGTGTGAGAAAACTTTTTCCCAATCAGTGGGATGTCTGTTTGTTTTTTGTAATGTCTCTTTTTCTATACAGAAGCTTTTTAACTTGATGTAGTCCCATCTATTTATCCTTTCCTTCACTACTGTTCCATTGGGTACTGCATCTTCAAAGATGTTGCTGAAGTGTATGTCGTATAGTGTTTGGCCCATCTTTGCTTCCAGGTATTTTACGGTTTCTGTTCTAATGTCTAGGTCTTTAATCCACTTCAAGTTGATTTTTGTGTATGGTGAGAGGTAGTGATCTAGTTTAATTTTTTTGCATGTAGCTTCCCAGTTTTCCCAGCACCATTTGTTGAACAAACTTTCTTTGTGCCATTGTATCTTCTTTGCTCCTGTGTTAAAGATTAGCTGCCTGTAAACCTGTGGGTTTATATCTGGATTTTCTATTCAAATCCACTAGTCTGTGTGTCTGTTCTTGTTCCAGTACCATGCAGTTTTGATTATACTTTTGGGATAGTGATGCCTCTGTTTTCTTTCATTTTAGTCAGGAGAGTTTGGCTATTCAAGGTCTTTTTTGGTTCCATATGAATCTCATCAATATTGTTTCTATTTCCTTAAAGAATGTCTTTGAGACTTTTATTGGGATGGCGTTTAATCTGTATATCGCTTTTGGTAGGATGGCCATTGTGATGTTAATTCTCCCAATCCATGAGCAGGGGATGTCTTTCCATTTCATGGTGTCTTCTTGTATTTCTTTTAACAGTGTTTTGTATTTTTCTTTGTAGAGGTCTTTTACTGTGTTTGTTAGGTTGATTCCCCAGTATTTGATTCTTTTTATTTTAATTGAAAAGTGATTTTTTTTATGTCTGCTTTTTATGATTGGTTGTGTAAGTGAAGACCTCTGACAATTGTGTTGTGATTTTATATCCTGCTACCTTACTAAACTGGTTGATTATTTTGATTAGTTTGCTACAATTTCTTTTCAAAAGACGTTTCAAGTGCTAGTGAGAATATCTCATTCAGCATATACTTATTGAGCACCTACTTTGTGTAGGGTCTCGGACAAATATGTAAAGAGAACAGTAACTCTTAAAGTTGGTCAGGGAGTTGGCTTTGTAGTATATAAGTGTTTGAAAAGTTGTCATCTTCCTGAGGAGACATATTCTTACCATCCTATTTAAAATAATTCACACCAATCCCAATCCATTCCCACTCTGGATCCTATTATTTTTTTACATCAATATTTTGTATTCTTTGAATATATTATACAACTTGCTTATTATGTTTTTTGTTTATCATTTTTCCTACTTGAATGTAAACTTTAAGTTCAGATTTTTTCTTTTCATTAATGGAAAGAATGTAAATAACATTTTACAAGTATCACTATGAAATTAAGTAACTGTATTTGTCTTTTGTAGAATGGACAACAAATTGTCTCAGGAAAAGCTTTAGAATATTTAGCTAAACATTCAGAAGACCCACAGCAAGTCTTGATAGCTTTAAAGTAAGTAATCACATTTTGTATATGTGAAGGAATTTCCTGTTCATGGAACTCTTGGTCTGTAAACTTTGCTGTAATAGTACAGATGGGATCAGGCTGAGTTAGTGACTACTATAACAACTGTTTTTTTTTTTTTTTGGTTCCAGCTTTTATTAAGATATAATTGTTATAACATTGTATTATGGTGTGAAGCATGATGATTTGATACAGATATATATCCTGAAATAATTACCACATTCTTCACCTCACATAACTATGAAATTTGTTTTGAATATTGCAAGAAAATTTAAGTCATACTCATAGAAATGGTCAAGTATATTATCTTGTTATTCATTTTAGTCACCCTGCTTTACATTAGATCCACAGTCATTTAGATACACACACACACATAACAAAATATATATAAATACACATAGTATTACATATATATACACATACACACACACATAACAAAATATATATAAATACACATAGTATTACATATATATATACACACACATAACAAAATATATATAAATACACATAGTATTACAAATATATACATATATATATATATATATATATACGTAACATCATTGTTCATTTTTTACAATGAATGCTTGTATACTCTCTCCTTTTAGGTGTATTTCACATAATATTCCCACTATCATTTCACCTGTGAGCCATAACCATAGTCCCTTGTGCTCTTCTCTCCCCTGTTTTAGTCCCTCATTCTACCCTTTCCTTATAGAATGTCTGATTTGTGGTTGCCTGCTAATTTTTTTTATCATTATTGTTATATTTTTTTTATGATTCCCTTATTTGGCTCCCTATATTCCTCTTATAAGTAAAACCATCCAGTATATTTCTTTTTCCTTATGGCTTATTTGACTGAGCATAATCCCTTCCAGCTCTATCCATGTTACTGCTAATGGCATGAATTTATCATTTTTGATTGCTGAACAGTATTCCATTGTGTATATATACCATATCTTCTTGATCCAGTCATCTATTTTTTTTTTTTTTTTTGGCCTTTGGGCTATTTCTGTATCTCCGTATCTTACCTATTGTAAATAGTGCTGCAATAAACATTGGAGTGATTTTATTCTTTTTTTTTTATTTGTCCTTTGTTTATTTTTCTAGGAATGAAACTGCTTATATGGAAGCTCAATTTTTAGTGATTTGAGGGACCTCCACACAGCTTTCTATAGTGGTTGGACCAGCTTCCATTCCCACCAGTTGTGTAGGAAAGTTCCTTTTCTCCATATCCTCACCAACATTTTTTGTTTTCTGTTTTTTTATTATGTGCCATTCTTACTGATGTAAGTTGGTATCCCATTGTAATTTTGATTTTCACTTCCAATTTTAAGTGATGCTGAACATTTTTCATATGCCTGTTGGCCATTTGCATTTCTTCTTTGGAAAATTGTCTTTTTAACTCTGCCCTTTTTTTTTTTTTTTGACTAGGTTGTTTACTTTGTTTTTGTTGTGTTTCTTCAGCTCTTTGTAGGTCTTTGTGATCAGTACAAAATATTTCTCCCAATCAGTAGGGTATCTCCTTGGTTTGACTAATGTCTCTTGCTGTATAGAATCTCTTTAATTTGATGTAGTGCCAGCTTTTATCTTTTCCTTCATTTATTTGCTTTAGTGATGTGTCTTTAATGATGTTACTGATATGTACATCATGTAGTGCTTTGCCTGTATTTTCTTCTATATGTTTTATGGTTTCAGGTCTTATGTCTAATTCTTTAATACATTCTGAGTTGGTTTTTGTGCATGGTGTGAAGTAGTAGTCTAGCTTCATTTTTTTTTTTTTTGCACATAGCAGTCCAGTTTTCCCAGCACCATTTGCTGAACAGACTTTCTTTGATCCATTGCATATTCTTTGCTCCTTTGTCAAAGATTAGCTGTCCATAAACCTGTGGTTTTATATCTGGGTTTTCTATTTTAATCCATTGGTTTGTTTGTCTATGCTCTTTACAGAACCATGCATTTTTTATTATTATTGCTTTGTAGTATACTGAAGTCTGGAATTTTGATGCCTCCAGTCTCTTTTGTTTTAGTGAGGAGAGTTTTGTCTATTTGAGATTTTTTGTTATTCCATATAAATCTCATCAGTATTTGTTCTATTTCTTTGAAGAATGTCATTGAGATTTTTATTGGAATAGCATTTAATCTGTATATTACTTTTTGTAGGATGGCCATTTTAATGATGTTAATTCTTCCAATCCATGAACAGGGGTTATCTTTCCATTTCCTTGTGTTTTCTTGTATTTTTTTAATCAGGGTTTTATAGTTTTCTTTATATAGGTCCTTCACCTCCTTTGTTAGGTTTATTCCCAAGTATTTGATTTTTTGGTTCCTTTTGTTAGGTTTATTCCCAAGTATTTGATTTTTTGGTAGTGGATTTTTTAAATTCTTCTTCTTCTGATTGGTTGTTTGTATAGGGAGGCTATCGACTTTTGTGTGTTGATTTTGTAACCTTACTAAACTGGTTGTTTTGATTAGATTTTCTATGGAATTCTTAGGGTTTTCTATGTATATTATCATATCATCTGCAAATAAAGATAGTTTTACTTATTTCCCTATTGGCTGGCATTTTTTTTTAACTTTTAAATATTCTGACCATGTTACTGCATTCTCTCCTTGCCCATAATAATTACTTTAGAGAATTCAAATGTAAGCCTGACTGGGGTTTATTTATAGGTTATCTCTTCATCTTTACCAGCTTCAATATTCTTTGTTTTGAACTCTTGGAAATTTTACTAGTATGTGTGTTGATGTAGGTCTGTTAGATTTAGGTAAGCAGGCATTCTTTTAACTTCATGAGCTTTTATGTTTACTTCCTCCTCTAGGTTTAGGAATTTTTTCTCTATTGCTTCTTAAAATAAGTTCTTGAGCCCTTCCTGGTGGCACAGCAGGTTAAAGCACAGCACTAAGAAGATTAAGCCACTTCCGCATGAGTTCGATCCCCGCCTGCCCCGGAGGAGATCCACATGGTGCGGTAGACCTCTCCTGATTCACCCGCTGCTCCCCTCAGCAGTGTACTTCCTTGATCTGCCTGTTCTGCTCCCCACTCTGTCTCTGGTGAGTCCTCTCACCCTCCGCATCTCTAGCCTGTACTCCAGTTTTATATGAATAAATACATAAATCTTAAAAAAAATAAGTTCTCTGTTCCCTTTTCTCTCTTTTCCCTTCAGATAACCATTATCCTTACATCTCCCTCCCTTGTGAAATTGGATAATTCTTTTTTAAAAAATTTTTGAAATAGATTTATTTATTTAGACTTAGAAAAACTAGGGTATAGGCCAGAGATGTGGGAGTGAGAGAGAGGATTAACCCAAGACTCCAAGACAGAGTGAAGAACAGAACAGGCAGACCTACTGAAATACATTGCTAAGGGGAGCAGTGGGGAAGACAGGAGAGGTCTGCTGCACTATGTGGGCCACTTCCATGGCCAGGGATCAATTTCACACTGCAGTGGCTGTGGATAGCTTAATAGTGCTGGCTTCAACCCATTGCACCACCAGGGAGGGCCCTGGATAATTCTTGAAGTGTTTCTTCAATTTTTTTTCTTCATATGTCTCTTTCTACTTTCCACCTTTATTCTTGTGCATTATCATCTTTGAGGTCACTGATTTGATCTTCCATTTTGTTTGATTCTTTCCATAGCTTTTTTCCAGGTATGTACCATTTGTCTGGCATGTTGATCTCTTTACATCCTGCATGTCTGTTATTATCTTTTTTAAAGGTTTAATTTCCATATTCTCTTCATTAATTTTATTTCTCAGGGCACTCATTTGTTTTCTGAAATTTCTTGTATATCTTTGATCAGTTTTTCTGTGCTCTCTTCCTTGTTTCTGAATTTCTTTATCATGGCCATTTTGAATTCAGTATCTGAGAGGAAGAAACGATCTTCTATGTCATTGTGATTAGTTTCTGGAGATTTATTCTTTCTGTGTGGTGAAATACTCCCCCTTAGGACTCAAAGAACCATTTGTTGTATTGTCCCACTATTGTTGTTTTGAGTCTAATTATGTGTTCAGTTGTCTTAAGGATGTAGACCTTCCACTTTTCCAATTGGTGGTGCTGTATATCAAGGAAAACTGACTGTTATATGGATGAAAGAAGTAGGGGGAATCCATCCCTAGTGAAAGTTTTATATTGGGGACAGAGGAGTGCTGTTGGTGCTTTTACGGTACCATTGATATCTGTCTGTGTTTCAGACTTGTATTTCTGTAGTTTAAAGGTAGGGCTTTCTGTTCACTGTACAGTTATGCTTTCAGGCACTTTCAAGTGCAGTTTCATTGTATTGTCTCAAGCCTCAAGGGTGGTGGGGGAAGGAACTCATGGTTTTCTGCTCTGTCATATTCACTAGAGACCATGTCTACTTGGCTCACCCCAGCATTTTGCAGGTCTCCCTCCATCGTTATATGCACATTAACCAGCTCTCTGCAACTTGGGCTCACCTTATCATGGGAGCAGTCTATGAACAGGATTCTGCCTCAGCCATGCCCTCACCACCCACTTTGTTGTTTAGAGTTGAAATTATTCAGTGACTCTACTGTCACATTTGGTTAGTGTTGGACTCCAATGTCCTGGAGGCACTCTAGTTTTGCCCTAAGTCGTGGGATCTTCTGGGTCCTGCACCTCTTTGGGCTATTAGATTATTATCCAAGGAATGAAGCAGGGAATTTCTTTTCAAGCCATCTTCCTGTCTGTCCAACCATATTTAAATGATTCATTATATTTTTAAGTTTTATATGATTTACTTATTTTTATATATTTTACATCATTGTTCATATTTGTATAATGTTTGCTTTCTCATAGCATAAAGTTCCCACTACCAATTCACTTATGCACCATTGTCAGTCACTTGTGCTCTTCACTCACCTGATGAAATTCATTATTTTGTATATGAATGCCCAGTGTTCCCAGTACCAGTTATTGAGTATTTTGTACACCATTGTCAAATATTAGTTGATTATGTATGCATGGGTTTATTTCTAGTCCTTTATTCAATTCTGTTTGTGTATCTTTTTTTTGTCTATAGCTTTGTATTATACTTTGAGATGGGTAAGTATGCTGCTACCACTGTTGTTTGTCAAGGTGCTTTTGAAATTCGGTGTCTTATGTGGTTGCATACAGATATTAGTATTTTCCTATTTTTTTGATGCTACTGAGTATTGATAAAGATACTTAAAATTTTATAATATATCAATGAATCCTGATTCCCCCTTCCACTTTATTTCTATGAAAGAACATGATGAGGTTGCATATGTTCAGGGTAAATAGCCATATGTAAAAATGGTTTACCAGATGAGATTAGGCTCATTCAGGATTCTGTGGCCACAAACTGAAAATAGATTTATCAAAAGCTACTGTTATGTGACATAGAAAATATAACTGGGAAAAACTGAGAACTGAATGGGTTCTACAGTGGCTCTGCTGTTGGTCAGCTATACTTGAGAACACATCTCTGAAAGAAAATAGAGCTACAGAAATAAATGTATCATGAGTCTTGAGATACTTGCAAGCCCTCAGTAAGACAAATATCTATAAAATTATTCATTCTATGTGATATTTTTTAAAATATTTTTAGAGCTTGAAATTTTACAAGGTTTCAAATACTACATTAGTTTGTTAGCTTGTCACTGTGACAAAGCTTCAAATACTGCCTTATTTTGTCAACTTATCATTGAGATGCCAGATTCCATCAAAGAATAGTAATATCAGTTTATGTAAAATCTAAAGGCCAATTCCAGATCCCTTTAAATGTTCTAACATGTTTGGGAGAAATGATATAAATTGTGAAATTATTTAAAAATTGTCATTAAGTTACACATTGATTTTTATATTACTTTATCTAATTTTCCAAAATTACAAAATTGGTGTTTTCATTGCAAACATTAAAAGAATGCAAAGATTCATAAATAAAATTGGTGCTCTGTTCTCTCTTTTTTTCACTTTGACTTCTGGGATAATGAAAATTCATAAAATAGTATCTATTCTTTCCTATGTTTTTGCCTAAGCATTACTCTTTATATTACTTCATCATACAGGTGTTTGTTTCGTCTTGTTCTTCCAACAGTTTCTCAAATGCCAGAATCTGAAAACAAGTAAGTTATTTAAAAAGAAATGATGTATTTACCATTATAAAAATCAGATTAACTTTCAATATAAACTTTATATTGAGGAATATATGGTATAATGGGTAACATAGATATATCGCTTGACTTTAAAAATAGGTGTATTGCTTACTTTCCCACAGGAAAATAGAATCTACATAACTTATTGATTCAAATTCTATATTAGCTTAGCTAGGGATATTCAAATATCTTTCTGTTCATAATTTCTATGGTATCAGTTTTTCATTTACAAAAACCATTACCTCTTAATGATTTGAAAGAAAACTATTCAAGGTATTGATTGGAGGAATATTCACCTCATCTCTATATTCTCTACTTGGAGAGAAATTCTGTAGTTCACTTTTGCTTTATATATTTCTACCTGAAGGCAATATATTTGTTCAGCTGAATTTTTTTTTAAGATTTATTTATTATTTGTGCATACAGAACTGGGGTACAAGCCAGAGACTCAGGGGTGGTGAAAGACCAGAAACAGAGTGGGGAGCAGAACAGGCAGATCAATGAAGTACACTGCTGAGGGGAGCAGTGGGCGGGTCAGGAGAGGTCTGCCACACCATGTGGTTACCTCCGGGGTGGGCAGGAATCGAACTCATGTGGAAGTGGTTTCAGCTTTTTAGTGCAATGCTTTAACCCACTGCACCACCAGGGAGGGCCTCATCTGAATTTTTTTAAGAACTATCTATGACTGAGGTAATATTGGTTTGATGATGTAATATTTATGATACAATTTTTATAAAATAGAATTTACCCAGTCATATATTTGTCACCTCTTTACAGGTTCTGAGTGAAAAATAAAGAGTACTTTACAAGGGAACACAGCAAACTTAAAATTATACTAAGACAATTGGAAATTTGGATAATGACCAAATATTTGATGATATTAAGAAATTATTCATTTTTAGACTTTATAACAGTAGTTGGATTATTTTTTTAAAGACTCCTTATTTCTTAGAACCAAAGTATTTGTGAGTGAAGTGATGTATTTATGAGTGAAGTGATGTGATTTCTGCAAGTATTTATGAGTGAAATGATGTGATTTCTGCAAGATTCTCTAACATAGCATATCAGGGAAAGGAGTGAGTGGAGGATCATTGAAAAATAGATTATGAGTTAATAATTGTTCAAACTAGGGGATAGGTACTTGGGCTTTTATTAAACTCATCTTTTAGCATATAAGCATCTTTGAAATGTTCCAGAATAAATTTTTTTAAATAAGTAAGGAAATTCAGAGACTAATCCTTTATGACTACTACAGTAAGAACTCCTTGAGGGCTAAGACTCTGTATTTATCTTTGTGTCTCTGGAACGTAAGGCAATATCTGGCACATTATAGCCCTTCAATTTATTTGAATGTCTGAATATTATTTATTAAAAGTTCTTTATCAGGCCCTCCCTGGTGGCCCAGTGGGTTAAAGCACAGCACTAAGAAGCAGAAAGCCACTTCAGCATGAGTTCAATGCCCGCCCCAGAGGTGACCACATGGCGCGGCAGACCTCTCTGGTTCGCCCGCTGCTCCCCTCAGCAGTGTACTCCATCAGTCGGTCTGTTCTGCTCCCCACTCTCTCTCTGGTGAAACCTCTCACCACCCCTGTACCTCTGGCTTGAACCCCAGTTCTGTATGCATAAATAAATAAATCTTTTTTAAAAGTTCTTTATCATTAAAATGAGAAGATTCTTCATATTCCATGCAACTTGTGGCATACAGTTAAATTCCACTCCTTAAAACCAATCTGGAGAAGGGAAAAGAAACAGATATTAATTGAATTGATGATAAATTTAAATTACAGAAATTTTTAAATATATGCCTTTTTCTTTTTATTTTGCATGTGTTGTTGTGGGAATCTATCAGGGTGGAGGCCAGACTCACAGGGGTAAAAGAATTCACCAGAGACAGAGCAGAGAATAGAAAAATAGATTTGTGTAAATATACTGCTGAGAGAAGCAGGTTTCTTCTAAGAGGAGAGAGGTCTACAGAGCTATATGTCTTTATTGTTGTCAAGTATGCGTAGTAGAAACAAACATCTACCAGCAGTGTTTTCAGGTTGATGCTATGTCCAAATTTAACAAATAGATTATACTAATTTGCAAAAAAAAAAAAAAAAAAAGCATAATTCAGCAGAGTCAGAGACTTGAGTTCTGATTTCAGCTATTTCACCAACTTTGGGTTTCCCTTAGGCAAAAACAATTTATCCAACTTCTCTATTCTTTATTTTCTTCATCTTTTGAACAAAAATAGCTAGGGTAGATTACTTCTGATGTTCCTTTCTATTTTAAAAATTCTATGGTTTTATATTAGCTATATCTACTAAGTATTAACAATTTGTGTGCTAAAATTTTGAGAAGCAGGTTATTTACTAAATAGATCCCTTTTCAAGTCCTAATTAATATTTAAGTAACTTATTTTCATTAATGGACCTTTTTAAAATTACATCTAAATTAAATCATGAAGTTGTCAACTTTAACTCAATAAACTCAAATTAATAAAATTTACTAAAGAACTAACTTTATATAAAACAGATTTTTAACATTTATCACTGATAAAGCTTACACTTTCTCTGAAGTACAGTCTTTATTTTGTACTATACTAGGCCTCTTATTGATAGACCAGTCTTGCAGTATTATCTATCTTATTTCCTATAATCTTCCTTAGTTGAGTTTACCAACATTATCATATTCATTCTTTTAAGAAAAATTGGTTGTTTTCACCTGTTTAAGTTTATATACCCCCTTAGAGAAACTTGACAATGGGCAAGAGAATCAGGAAGTAATCTTAACTTTGTTACCAATTGCATGACCTTGGAGAAATCATCCTCCATTTTCAGATTTGTTTCTTGACTTGTAAAACAGAGTAGTGGTTTTTAAACTATATTTCTCAGAACCTTGGAAATTCTGTGACACTACTATATGGACTTTCAAAAGGGTGAGTCTAGTTTAATCAAACATCTTCTCTGATATATATCTTCTAGTATGTTAGATATTTAGACAATTTTATTTTGAAACAAAGATTCTAATTCCCTGTCTTCAAAAAAAAAAAAAAAACTTTGAAAATTAGAGATCACTACCTGCTCTCAAATTATATGATCCCATAATATAAAACCTTATAAGTTTTTTAAATCCTTTGCAATAAGTAGGTATAGAAGGGGAAGAGAAAAAAATAAGAGGGCATTAGAGATGAGAAACAGTATACTATAATGCAGGAAAAGATTGCGGATTTATTGAAACCTTGAGCTACAAACTTAACAATTTTCACTTTGCCCAGCTCTTGAGCAAATATAGTCTTTTTGATACTTTTCTATATTAAAATATTGGAACAGTATGAAAATACTACTTTCTTTAATTTTTAGAAAGAAAGAAATGGATAGACTTTTAACTTGCTTAAATACAGGTAAATATTTCCTTGGTTTCTTTTTCAGCCCTTTATTTTCCTTCTATTTTCTGTTAAACTATCCAGGTATGTTGATTCAAACTTAAACTTCATGCCTTTGTTAATGTTTACTACAACATTCTACCTTGGTTTCTTTATTCACAAGCAGGAAAAATGTCATTTCTAGCATTAATCTTCAAAAACTATTTCAGTTGTTATTCCAATTTGTTTTTGATTTTTTGTTGTTCCTTCCTCCTCATTTTGTTACCTTCTCCCCTCCTTTCTTCCTCCCTTCTTTTCACTTAGTTTTAGCATATAAATTCAACAGGGGAAAAGAATCAAGAAAAATAAGAATGTCTGACCCTGCTAAATTTCTTATCATCTGTAACAAATCCTGATTGTTTGCTCTCTTATTTTAAATCTTTCGATCTATCTACCCAAATCTATGCAGTCTGCAGTATTTACTAATAATTCCTCATCTGCTTTATTCAAATTAATCTCCTAGCTATGCTGCATGGCTTTTTCCAACTCTGCTTTCTTATGCGGTGTCCCTTTTTCCTAGTATGTCTTTCTTTTCAACTGCCCATGTACCTATTTCTTTATATCCAAGCACACCAAAATATCCATATCTTAGAAACTTTATTCCATTTATTGCAGTACTTTGCTTTTATATGTAAAATATTTGTCCATATATGTTAAATGTACCAAAGTGGTTTAGAAACCAAAATTTTCAAAAGAGAAAACCTTTGTTGGTTGGTATTCTCATCTCTTAGAAAGGCATGTGGGTATGTAATGAAGACCTTCTGATGGTGACAACATGTTCTGATTTAGTAAATATTATGCCAGCCTATCAGTTCTCTTCTAATTCTCAGTCTCCATTTCTGCCTTTTTAGTGATTGTTCCTACTCTATTTCCTACATGCAAATCAAATCTTTGTAACTTAAATAGTGAATGATTATTCAAATTGAAACTATAAATATATCCAAAGACAGGCTTATGCTGAAATTTTTAGTTAACAGTTTCTTGGAGCTTGGTAATACTTATTGTCATTTAATAATTACTGCTGGCAAGAGTGCACACACACTTTCTAAATTCAATCTTGTGGGACTGTTTTTAAAGCAGGATTAACAACTTTGCTAGAGTATAAAGTAAAAGACCTCAATATCAAATTTTCCTGTTTGTTGTAGCACTCCTGAAACTTGCTCAGAGCATTGATGGAGAAAATTCTGCTTCTGACTCAAAGGTTAATGAAGCTCATTGGTTTCGGAAAATAGGTAAAATAAAATTCTATGGCTATTGGAAACATTGTGAAGTTGTAGAAACAGACAGATATAAGGCTCTTTCATTTGTAGCTTAGTGTACAAGGATGAAATGTTGAATCTCGCATTCACTAAACATGGAAGATATATGCTTTATAGGTTTATTGGTGTTTTAAATGAAGCAGTGTGTTTGATTACTACCTCATGGGTACACAGTAAATAGTAGTTTTCTTTTATATATAAATAGGTCCAAGGATAAAATGATGAATTTTATCTCAGGTTCCTAAGGTTATGCTTTTAAATTTGATGTAGAATACCCAATTTATCTCTACACGTGACTTAGTAAAAATAAACTACATATAGCAATATGCATGAATCTTACAAACATAATATAATAAGCTTATTGCATGAGTCTTACAAATATAATAAGAGAGGAGAAAACATTGGGCATATACTGCATCATTCCATTTATACATAGGGGAGGACAAAATTAATTTATTTATAGTGTTAGAACTCAGGATAGTGGTTACCCATGTGTAGGGGGTTGGACTTAAAAGGTGTTAATGAGCTTGCTTTCATGTTTCTGATAATGATAAAGATCTTTCTTGATATAACTTTATGAAAATTCATCAATCTATATAGTTATGAATTGTATAATTTATTTTATGCAGGCTCTATTTCATTAAAAATGTTTTTTAAATTGTGGAGACAGTTACTACAATAAAAAGTAAACAAGAGCAAATCAGCAGCAATTTCACAAAGAAGGCTAATTTTATATGTACTCTTTTCTGCTTTATAGGATTTACTGGGGCTCTAATCAAAGCGAAGAGGGTAGTAAATATAGCAATCTGACCTCTAAGAAACTCATAAAAATAATGGGGAAAAAACTGAGAGTATAGAAAGGTTTCATGTCTTTGACCTTTTGAGTTTGAAAAGACATTTTACAGTACTACAACTGAATTTTAATTTTGATTTTTCAAAATGAAGTTCATACTGAATGTTGCTTAATGAAGGCATCCAATATTCTATGGACAATGTGAACCTTTTCAGTAATTTTTTTCAACTCTGGATTGTAGTGTACCCTGTTCTTTGCTGAATTTAAACTTCCCTTTACCAATTTCAGTTGGCAGTCTCCTTGGTGCTCATTTTTAGATGGATTTGTACCAACTAAGTGTTTATGTTCCAAAATTTAAAAAAAAAATCAGCTTACCTCCATTGGTCATTGACCTAGAATTGAAGTGATAGAAGTCTCTAAATTTACCTGCAAGAAATTTATTCAGTAACCTAATGTTAACTTTTTTAACCTCTCTCATTAAGTATAATAATATTAATGGTATAGGTAGCAGAGATTATAATGATATATCTTACAAGATTTCATTATAATTAAAATCTTAGATTTTTCATAATTCTATTATTTCATGTTAACTTTCAGCTTGGAACTTGGCTGTGCAATGTGACAAAGACCCAGTGACAATGAGAGAGTTTTTCATACTTTCTTATAAGGTAAATGTCTTCTAATAAGTATCTCCTATATTTATCACAACAAAGATATGACCACTATGTCTAAAATCAATGGTTAATTATTGAGTGAGATTGGCTTTTGTTCTAGGAACTTATAATATATGTCCAAGCACGAATGACTTAAAGATGATTTGAATACCTTAGAGTATAATGTAAGAACATGGAGAAGGTCTTCTTATACCAAAATATCACAAAAAAACTATTATGGAGCCTAAATTTGTACTATAAGAAGCATATTCCTTTGCCTTTGAAAGAATTCCAATCACCCAGAGTCTTACATTATAATGTTATTTAAAATATTAATATTATTAGGAGGAGAATAATGAAAGAAGTTGTCAATTACTAAAATATTAAGAAGAATTGTAGATACTGTAGGAATAATATAGAACAGAACAACAAGGGGTGAAACGATGCTATGGCTGTCTTTATAGTTTTTCCTACAGCAGATTCTGTGTTTATAGATTTGTGAGTTTTTATTCAATTATAAACATTTTTAAATAGTCATTACCCAATAAAGTAGAGGATTAAATGCCAGAAAGAGAATCAAGTACTGATAAGGGACTTAAGAATATTGCTCATACCCATTCAAGATTGCACAGCATGACATATTGAGATAGAGTAAATGTTAAAAGTTTTAGAGCTGGAAAAAACTATAGAGATAATCTAGCATAACTCCCTCACCTGATATATGAGTAACTTGAGACCTAGAGAGCTTGGGTTTGTATTGAAATGCTATTAATTCAATGATGATCCTGATCATGATCACTAAACAATTTTGGAGATTAAGAAGAGATAGTCGTTGTAAGTTTGAGTATAATAGCCATTTTAATTAGATAAGATACATTTTACTTATGAAATTTCTGATAATACCAGTAAGATTGTTTGTAAGAACCACAAGTGGACTAGGTTTTATTATAGTACAAAATTGGGAGTTCTTTTCTAAAGCCAGAGGATATGGCTTAATAATGAGGTTATGCCTATTGCCTCTCAAAATATGATAGTCTTTATCAACCATGATAATATATGTACTAATTCCAGCTTTTCAATACAAAGGGGAAATTGATTTGCAAGGGGAAAAGTCACTTTGAAATATTAACATAAATCAAGAAGTAAATCAGTAGATAGGATTACAGGGCCAAATGACAGTACTTGTCACTGGAAAAGATAGGAAAATTGTGAAGAAATAAAGCTTTCTATCTCTAGGAAGGTGCTATAAAAACAATGGAAAGTGATATAAGATCACAATTGTAAATCAGTGTTAGAGCCTATAATATTTTTAAGGTGCACTGTTTTTCCAGCTGGATTTTCTATTCAGACAGGATGTTGCTGATTTTCATTCTTACTGTGTGTGTTCACCTGGCAGAATTTTCACTATTCATTGATGTTCTGATTATTTCTTATCAGCTGTCCCAGTTTTGTCCTTCTGATCAAGTAATTCTGATTGCACAGAAAACATGTTTACTTATGGCAGCTGCAGCTGATCTAGAGCAAGGGAAAAAAGCTTCAACAACTTTTGAGCAGGTAGGTATTGTGCAACCTTCAAAGAAAAGCCTAGACTTCACTGTGCTATTTGGTATGATGCAGTTTTGATTCTCCTTTGAGAATTCCTTCATTCTAGTAGCATCTTGATTTCAAAGGTTTGTATTGACTTATTTCTTCCTAAGGAAAGTTCACATTTGTCTTGCCCTCTTCAATAAGGTTAAATGTGCCTTCTTTTCATATTCCTTTCTGAATCAGTTTTAAATATTCTTTAAACCACTCTTTCCTAATCTGTTTCTAAATATTCTTTATATTCATCATCTCCCTGTGATCATATATGGTCCATGGGAATTTTTTCTATTTTTGTTTCCTTTAACACATGCTCTAAGGAAAACCTCATCTACTTCTACAGTTTTGATAACCATCATCTGAAATTATTTACTTGGCTTTTATTCACTCAATTACACTATTTTGTTTTTTTACCACATCCTTAAATTTTTTATCATTTATTCTGATAAGACAGAATTCGTATCTTTGCCTGAATTTCACTCTGTTTCCTAAACTTTATCCTTTTAGAAGATACCAACATTAATATCTCAGTCTCCTATATCCCAGATTATTGGCTTGCCTTTAGTGCTTTTCTTTCAATCTTTCAAGCTAAGAACATTGACTCTCAGTTATATTATTAGCAGTTTTGGTATGATTTTAAGATCTAGATATCTGCTTTTCCCCCTCTTATCTGGACAATGAAACTTTCTAATTTCTCATACTTGTCAACTTCCTTTTTTCCAATTGGTATAAAATTCTTCTTGTGTAATCTCTTCCTTCTCTTAATCTCTACTTCCATATGATACTTGAAATCTGAAATAAACTCTTACCATATCTCTATCAATATATTTCCCTTCTTTTCTCCTCTCTTGTTAAGAGCAACTTGGAAAACATTTGAGTAACAAGTACTCTGCAAGGTAGTATTTATAAAAAAGATAAAATCCTATTCTTCAGGAATAAAGAAACCTCATTTTATAGGCTTTGTTAAACAAAGAAGAAGAAGAAGAAAATCTGGGTCCTTAAGCAAAATCAAAAACAGTGACTTTGTGTAACAAGTGAAGGTAAAGGTAATTTTAGCCTCAGGGTATTTTGTGTAACTAAAAATGGTTATATTTTATTTATGCATAGTACTTTTAACTTTGTAAATGTTTTCTTTCTTCCTTTTAGATTCGTGTTACTGACTTTGTTAAATTTTGTATTTCAGGAAATAGAGATCAAATTGAAGTGAGAGAACTTTCACTAACCCATGATCCTTGACCCTTCCTCCCACTCTACCCACCCACAACCTCAGAACATTCACTTTATTAATATCTGCTAGTTTTATAATCATTTTACTTGTCTAATCATCCACTGTATAAATGCCCAATATTTGTCTTCGTCATTCTTACTTGCTTTACTGCAAATAGTTCCCTTGAGCTTCTTTTGTCTTTCCTTATGACTGAATAGTATTTCATTGTGTGGATATGCCACATCTTCTTGATTTCATCTTCTATTATGGGCATTTAGTTTGCCATGCCCCAGCTATTGTAAACTGTTCTTCCATAAACATAGTTTTTGATTTTTTTTTTTAGTTGATGGTTTCATGTTCTATGAATAGATGCACAGGAGTGTGACTGTTGGGTTATACAGTATAACCATTTTTTAATTTTTTTAAATGAATATAGATCATTCTCCAAAATAGCTACAGAATTTTATATTCCTACCAGTCATGCAATATAGTCCCTCTTTCTACACAGCTTCTACAGCACTTCTTGTTGGGAGTCCTTTTAGTATCTACCATTCTCATAGATGTGAAATGATAGCTCATTAGGGTTTTAACTCTTAAGTTTGCTTTCCCTGATGCAGTTATTTTTGATTCTACTTAAATAATCCTTTCCTTCATTCCAGCAGCATCTTGCTTTCAAAGGTTTGTATTTGTATTAAGTATAATCCTTAATTATTTTTTCCTTAAAGCTGTTCTCTTTTATTCTGTGTTCTTTCTCTTGTACACCCTCTTGTTTCCTAAGAACTCTCTAACCTATTAATATTTCCATATACTTCTTCACTTTTGAAAGGGTATCTGTTTAGATGCATTTCCTCCATCATCCAAATGTGATTCCTGTGAATTAGACTGCAGTGCTTTGTGTCTTTGGTGAAGATTTGTTGGTTGAATTCTATTATATTCACTTGTTCTTTGTTCTCTAAATCCTCAAAGTTAGATCATTTGCAAGTAAGTAAATGATGATAGAGTGTAGGTAGACTGCACAGTCCTATCAATTTATCAAGGAATGACATTTTTCTTAGAACAAGAAAAGATAAAATGCTGTGAACTGGCATAATCAGGTCCATGCTGTTTTTGTACAACCTGAGATTTAAGCATGGTTTTTACATTTATAAGTTTATAAATGAAAGCAAAAAAAAATATTTGAAAGAGAGATTATGTGATTGCCAACACCTAAAATATTTACTGCCTGGACTTTTACATGAATGTATCCTGACTTGTCCTCAGTTACTGTCGGGGACTGGCCCCAATCATGGGTTGTTGGAGGGCAGCACAGGCAGGGTCTTAAGGTGGGAGCGGTGTCGGCTAGTGGAGATTCCTAGAAGAGGGAAAAGAGGAGTGGGCGCGAGAAGACAGGGGAGTCAGCATCTTCCTGTTCTAGTCTCAGCAGAAGTTTATTTTATACACTATGAGCAAGCAGTGGGATAACATCAGCACATGAACTGGGCTGAGAGAAATCATAGTCATCTTTTTTTTTTTTTTTTAAGAATAGTTTGGGGTCATATTTACCTTCAGCTGAGATCATAACATTTATCAATCTATTAAAGTTAAAACAGGTACATAGATCCATAAAATTTAAGACTAGCATTGCTATATTTACCACAGTGATGATCAGCTAAAATAAAGTTCCTTAAACCCTAATTACTACTTAATGACCTTCATTCTCATTGAGACATCTTAGAGGGTAAAGTAAAGTCGAAGGCTGGGGTGGAGGCTAGGTTGGAGATGTGAAAGAGAATAAAGTAAGTTTGAGGGCTAGGGTGGAGAAGTCTTCTTGTAGATAAATCACTAAGGGAGATATTAAGATTCCTCATTTAAAGACTAAGCAATAGAAAGCTTAAGTAAGAGAGTAGAGCAATAAGATTTGGGTCCTCGTCCGGGCAGTAAAAGAACTCTGATTATTTTTTTTAACATGTTCTAGTACTGTCTTGTTTTACAATATTTATTTTGTTATAACAGCCAATTGCTTTTATTAATCAGCCAATTATAATATTATTTTTGACTTCAAGAGGAATTTCCTGTCCTGGGGCAGCGTTTGCTTGCAGGGGCAGGTAGTGCCTTTTGAAGCTAAGGCAATCCAGTTGTAAACTGATGGTTGCTCAGAATGTTTTGATATTACGATTATACAAAAAAAGGAGGTCATAATATAAGTTAGGATGGAAATTCTGATTTTCAGAATTTCAGATTCCCTTCTATCTGGAATTTGTCGGTCAACAGGAGTGGCATAGCTTGTGTCAAGTTACTTTTAACATCCTTATTGAACTATAATTCATAAGCTTTACAATTCACCCATTTAAAGCATACAGTTTAGTGAGTCAAACTAGATGTATCAGAATAAAGATACTAGGCTCATCTGCTGCATATAATCACAAATTGCAGCAACACAATATATCCCTAAAAATAAACAGATGACTACTATATACTTCAGGACCAATAGTCTGCAATTGGACCAAATCAAGGTAACAAAGGAATGCATTTCCTAATCAGAGCCTAAATGCCTGGACCTCCATCATAGTAGCTCATACACTAGAATAAGGCTTCATACTAGAAAAACAAAGAGGACAATTCCCAGCTTGTGACTCTGTCTCAACAATAATCCTCACCTAGCACCAAATCTAGTGTACAAATACAGCCTATAAGTTGAGGCAGGCCTGATACTATATGAAACATTCAGGCCAAGGATTGACCTATGGGAAGTGAGCACTGTATATTGCCACCATGCAACCTGGATACCTGTAGCAAAGTTGTAAACTCAAAATTTTTATCTATCACTAGAGTTGACCTTTCAGTGTTCTACTGCCAGTACCAGTGGCCAACACATTCAAAAGGCACAAATGCCACAGTCTGTAATAGACAACCAGGTTTGGATAAGAAAATATGGATTATACCAACATCCTGTAGAAAGTGTATGCTGCCAATTTACTAATGTAAGAGGACATTCCCCATCACAACCTATAAAAACTAAAATGAACAGGCTAAAGAACATATCCCAAGTTGTGAAGTGAAAAAAAAAAAAAAAGCCATGAGAAAAATTTCAACCCAGCAGAATCAGAAAAAGAGATTAAGGTAACAATTATAACCATGGTCATTATAACCATGGTCATAAAGTTAAGAAAAACAATGCATGATGTATAAAAGAACACAATAAAGACTGAGAAAATCCGGGGCTCTTGGTGGTGCAAAAGGTTAAAGCACAGCACTAGGAAGCTATCCGCTTCTGCTGTAGCACAGGTTTGCTCCCTTGCCAGGAAGATGATCCACATGGCACAGCAGACTTCTTCTGTCTCATCCGCTGCTTCCCTCAGCAGTGTGTTTCAGTCAATCTGCCTGTTCTGTTCCCCACACTTGTCTCTGGTGATCCTCTCATCCCCCACACCTCTGGCCGCTACTCAATTAATGTATGCATAAATAAATAAATCTGGAAAACAATTTTATAAAAACTTGAGAAAATCCAAGAGGTTACAACTAGAACTAACAGATCTAAAAACTACTGTAATTAAATTTTAGAATTCATAGAAAACATTTAACAATACACAAATGCGAATAATGGAGAAAATCAGTGAATTTGAAAGCACAATGTGGGAGAACACACAAATAAGACAATAAAGATAAAATGAATTTTAAAAATGAAAACATTTTTAAAGAGGTCTTTGGAATAACAAAAGAGAAATAACATCTGTACCATGTAGGGGGAGAAAAGACTCATAGAAAATGTATTTAAATAAATAATTAT